GCAATTTCGAGTGGTGTGACACGCTACTGCAGCTACGGACCAATTCACCTCGCAGATGGCAAGGATGTTCGTGGAGGTGAGTTACAGTTCTAGTCTGAACCTAGGCTTTATATGCCCCTACGTCCAAAAAGCTTTACCTTTCGCATCTGTCCGTAGCTGTTGGGCATGCAGGAGCTGCTCATCTAGTGATAGTCGTGCCATTTCGTATTCCACTTCCAGATCATGCATGAACTGTTTGTACTCCACTTCTGAAATGTTTTGATGCACACCCGAGTAATGTTTGAATACTTCTACGAACCAAGTTGGTACCGTTCTCTATTGTGCCACATTTTGGATCTTTGGACACATCACTTCGAGGCTTACGAGGTACACGATCATTCGCAGTCAGCTCAACTATGGCAACAGAATGATTCCCTACAATAAGAACCCGTAGAAAGTAAAACATTCCTTGAAAAATGTACTTCATTACCATTAGCATCCACAAATCGATAACCATTCCAACGTCGACTGAATTCCAACACTTCTGAGTTCTTTGTGAAGGTGAAATAACACCGTGAGTAGGCATACGGTTCCATCCTAGAATGCGTTGTATTATACACTACTTCGTCTCGTGAACAACACTAATACTTTTCGGAAATCATCCAGGCGCTAACTTAGTTCGGGCGGAGACGGCGCTCACCAGCGCTCCGGCGTTCCTTCCTTTGCTCAGAACTCAGACCTAACAGGGCGCAGACAACCATTATGTGCAGCCTCGCTGCCGCATGCCCCCGCCCTTGAGCACTTTAACGCCTCAATTCATCAGTACAGTTGATTGGCAGTGATTTCAAAAAGAACTTGATCAGGTCAGTCAAGTGATCAACCTCACAACTCCACTCACTCTTTGTCGGCAGGAACAAAATACGTGTAAATAGACGGTGGTATTTGTCCGAGTTTTGTCATCAGCTCACTGTAAGTCATGTCACGTGGCAGCCTTCTCAAGACAACCTGAAAATATAATCCTATAGGTGAATACGGGGGGATGTTTGAAGTTTCTGAGTTGTCGACAATAATTGCCGAAAAGGTGAAACCGAAAAACCTGTGTATGGGTGAGCCCATCTGATTGAATGGTGGTGATCCTCATGCCTATAGAGCACGTGCTCATATCATAGCAATCGTTGCGTTCGGATCTTCTTGGGGTGGGGGGGGGGCGTTTGTTTGACCGCCTTGACGCTCCTCGTTTCTCACTCATTCGAACCGCACGCAGCTACAGACCCCCGGTGCAGACCGGTGGCGCGCACTCGGCGCATTGCGAGCTTTGTCGCTGCGATGGCGCAGCCATGGAGTGAACACTGACAGGTGCTGCCAACAGCGCGATTCGACGGATTAGCTCTATGTCGCGCCATGTTGGCCTTCAGTCGCTAGCGGCGGAGCGTACACAATTGGTAATCAAAGTGGAATCAACATATTTCTTTGAAAAATGTTCAGTCTTTTTGCGATACGCTTTTCAGCTACCCTCTTGCTCTTAATGAGTCATCATTCGTTACTTCTTGCCTTCCACCTTCTCCGCTGTGGTTTACAATTCATCGGAAACGTTTGCCTTGATTCCTTTTTGTCGCGTTATCGTTGCGGCGGCAGTAAGGACCCCAAGAGTGTCCGTTGAACTTTTGTGCAGAGCCCAGGCTCCCAGCATTATCAACTCAAAAGCGGGCATCCAAGGTCCAAGTGGGCAGAATGTAAGGATTTTCCGTGAACTCTGCTGTCGGAATTTTATGACTTCACGAGTACGATCATCATCGACGCAGAGAATGGGCTTCGATAGCTCTCCAAACCAGTCAATGTTCTGCGCGAACTTGAAGAAAAAAAAAATCAGATTCTTGAGCACCAGGAAAGGAAAGTCCGATACCCAACACGCTGCGCTAGTATCAGGTAACCTCAATGCGAAAGTCAAATGTTTGAAAACTGTAATAAACATTTCGATTTCCACGACAACCTTTATGAAGAGGATTACCTTCGAGCCTTTCTGAGGACCCGATTTCTCCTTTTCTGCCGAGCACATTATTGCTACTCATAGAAATCTGTGGAAGTTCTAAACAATAATCCGAAGTTTTGCGCCTCAGTATTGCAATGCACCTCACGACAGTCCTGAACTGTAGTTTTATGGGTGATTTTGCAATCAATTTGTGGAAATCAATGGACAAAACCATTTGCCAAAAGAAGGAGCACAGAGTATCCGTTTATTAATCCGCAACGTAAAGCGAACACAACAACAAACTTGTTAACAGCATTTGCCTAATTACGATAGAAGAATGAGTCACAACTCAACACAGACAATCACTAGTACAAAATTGCTTAGCAAACCATATAAATAATAAGGTAGCAACAGACAAAATTGCAGAACAATAAACGAAGGAGGTTCCATGAGAAGGCTCAAAAGGGATCTACCAACGCGGTCCCCTTGGAGGATAGGGACGGTAGGGTCTTGATCGGCCTGCTCCCCATCCGACGTTCCTCATGGGACCACCACCACCTCCTCCCCAGCCGCCACGTCCACGTCCGCCACCACCGTAGCCACCTCCATCACCACCACGGTATCCTCCTCGTCCACCACGGTAGCCGCCTGAATCGCCATCACCTCTCCATCCACCACCACCGCGACCACCACGCCATCCACCACCGCCTCCTCGATCTGGAAAAACAGCAAATCAAATGAGTTGGCACACATGGCTACAGAATCTTAGAATTCCAAGCTATGACTTTAAGCACCCTCTGTTTCTTCAAACTATACCTCTAACATCAAATAGCTAAAATGTCAAATACTAGGGTCAGAAATGGCACAGGGAAAATGGAGTTTTTCAACTAGGTTTACGACAGCAAACTACCCACCTGAATCACCGCCCTTCATGTCTACGTCGTCGCTGAAAAGTGATGGTGGACCTCCACCGTTTCGATCTCCACCTGTGAGAAAAAACAAATGGTAAACCAGAGGCTTTTGAGTAAACAAACAAGTCGAATACCTACCATTAAAGCTGGATCCTCCCCCTAATGGTCCACCTCTCCAACCTCTTCCACCACCATTCGGGCCGCCACGACCGCGCCCTCTACCAGCAGTGATCGGTTGTATCTAAAACGAAACGTACATATAGGCGATTCAAACGTGGATGGAGTAAGATTTTTCTTGGTGGCAGACGAGCTTGCTCCAGCTTCACAACAGTTCACAGGTTTCACCAGTGAGACTTGTAAACCGGAACTAGTGAAGCAGTGAAAGTGCAAAATGCCCCCCTGTCGCCGAACTGCGCCCCATTAAATCATTAAAGTTTCTGGTTTCTAGTGTTTACGTATAGAACAAAATCATACAACAAAGAATGAAATATACCAGTGCAGCGTCTGTTAGTAGGTCATCTTTCATTGGCCCTCCACCAGCGTAAAACTCACGAGAAGATAACTCTCGAAGCAGTGAGCACAGTTCTCGATCTGAAGTTAACTATGGATCTCTGCCACTCATTAATTACGAAACTAGCGGGGAAAACTGTTTGCATGAAACAAGGAAAGGGTTTGGAAAAAAGAACAGCTAAAAATTTCAAAAGAATACTCTGGTTTCTCAATCACCATTAAGCCGCGTTCACACTCTGCGACTCGTAAGAATAGAAGTATTCGATTGTTCTACCTTCTAGGGGAATTAGATGGGAAATGAGCTACTCTGGACCCTGGCCCTTTGGTAGAACAGGAAAATTGATAGTTCTAATGCCCCAGACGCCTGTTCGATTCTCCCAAGTAACCAGATCAATACATTTACCTTGACGCGCGACCTCCAAGAACGTCCAGTAGCCGATTCTCCTATTCTCCAAGCCGCAAAGTTTGAACGTAGCCCTACCGTTCAGTATACCCAAAGAAAGACTTCCACCACTTCGTAATTATACTAACCCTGTTCAGTAGCTGCCATGAGCGACTCTGGGTTTATACAAGATCGGACAAGCATAGCTTCAATGCAAGGCCGTAGAGCCACTATTGCTGCAGCCACTGACACGTCCATTTTGAGGGTGATCCTGCAATTACAGTCACTTTTTTCAGTTCGTATGAAAATATTCCAATATCCAATATGTTTCCAGGGAACTCATACGGCATTTATTCCAAAAAATCAAAAAGTGCTTACATATCATCCAGTCTGATGAGGTCCTGACCAATACATTCCACTTTGCGGCAACCAAACAGCAGCAATTGGACACCCGAAATCACTGATAGCTGATTACAGGAAATAACGCGCGTACGGATCTGAACGTTAAAGCACTTTCAGGGTCATTAAACCCAACAAACCAAAATGTTTTAATACCTTCTCTGTGAAGACAATTAAAGGAGACGGCAGCTCAAAGTTATCTCCATGGAACGGTGTCAAAACGGAAGATTTACTCACGAGAGCCGATGCTTGTTCAAGAGTGTACACCTGGAAGAAATTTCACTATTAGGCTGTGTTGTTCTGAAGTCTCATAACGATCTCACCATTGGTCAGGGCACGTCACAAGATGGCCAATCACCAGCGACGAGGATCGCATTTGGTTGCTGGGGTAGGGGGTCGTATTTGGTCAATGAGAAATCTTTTGGCAGTTGGTTGGTCTTGTTCACGGGCGCTATTGACATCATTGGGAGAATTCTTAGTGGGAGGGGGGGGTGTATTTGTTCGCAGGGGAGGCGTATTTGCTAGCTGGAAATTTCGGAGAAACTGGTAGGAAGTTAAGAAAATTGGGTAAGATAGTAGGAAGGAGGGGATGGGGAAGGGGATCGTCTCGGAGGAGGGAATCGGGGGAGGAGGGGGGGGCGCATTTTGCTAAAATTGTCCTCAGCGGCAGGACATGCCCTGCCTTTAATACAGCCGTACGCGGCAGCGCGTCCATGTATTTTCCCTTACCCAATGCTCACACTTCGCATAGTGCGAACAAGAACAGTTACTGTGATTTCCTCGCACAGGCGCGCTGCCGCCTGCCCAGCCCTCCCCCCCACACATACACCGCCCTCATTCAAACACAGCACACATCCTTGAGAAATCTTCTGAAAATTTCACCTTTCTTTTTCCTCTGTAATAGCAAATATTTGGATAGTAAGCAGCAATAAGTAGAGACAGAAGCAGATCGTAGTCACTTTCGTGAGCACAAGAGCCATCCGTGAATAATTCACCAGCGAATCCGCACTGATTAGTGAGAACATCTAACAGCTGGTACTTAGCTCCTCTGGAAAAGAAATTACATGGAGAAAGTAATCGTCAAAAGGAATGTAAAAAGTTACAAAGTTTCGAGAAGGGAGCAACATTCGCGCTATCACCCACTAACTGTGAATTTTGCCCCATTCAAAAGGCTTATATTCGGCTTTTTAATTATGAAATAAATTATACTAATAACTCTAAAGTTTAATGGCCAGTGTGTTCTGATCCTGGAACCTTCTAGATCCGGCCATTCTATCGTTTTTCGGGGTGCCGTAGATAAGCCGACTGCCAGAAAACCACAGGACTGGTTTTGGACCCTGATTGAAGTGCTTTCCCGTGCTAATAACCTAACAGCCTTGCGCTGAAAGTTGCCCACGCTCCTTTTTGAACGTCCCTGCAGCAATATGAGTGCCTACAATAAGAGAACGTTTCCCCCATAGGATTACAAAATTTCCTAGAAAAAAAGTACATTGAAGCGGGCAAACTCACGCGCTCATCTTCAGGATTGTTTGACTCAATGAGACACGAGTACATAGTGATGTTTCCGCATTTAGTCCCATTTCTGATGCATGTTGGAAGGCTTGATTGACAGCTATCTGAAATCCGTAGGGTAAACCAGTGGCAAGGTACAGATAGCCTGGTCAGATTCGATTATAATCTCTGGAAATTTCATGTACATATGCCAAATTCGAACAAAAGTCAGTTACACCGTAGAAAAACGAATATCACCCCTCTGCGCCTCAACATGAGACATTCTCTTCACTATATCCACCACACCCATGCTTTTCGTGGGCATCGTTGCAGGCGCGGAGCGAGTTTTTTTTCCTACTACTGAGCAAGAGATTACAAGATAGTTGTGTACCCACCAGAGCAACGTGATCCGACCAACGATCGCCGGCGTACGAGCGTTGCGCGTTGTTCAATCGAGTATGCGTTCTTTCACGAGGTACAAATGGAGACGAAAATGATGATGACGCTGCGATGTCGCACATAAGTGTTCCAATGCTAAAAAAATGGTGGGTAAATGATGCCATCCACAACACTGTATCGATTCGGAATGAAAATAACGAGCAGCAGAGAACAAGGCAGAACCCAAAACAAACCCAAAAGCAACACCCATAACAATCGTTTTCCCTAGAAGTGGTTCAATAGGCAGACGTGCAAGAATTCGTCCCAAATCAGTGAGTTCCAGTTGACGGTCCAGAGCTCCCATGTCTGAAACAGTCGCATCATTCATGATCAGCCAGCGGAGGGCACATCACGAGAACTCTTTCGAAAAACTTACTTTGGAGCACAGCCTCGCTTTCTACAATCATATCATATGGCGGTGGCTCAATAGCCTTTGCAAGGAAGTCACCCACGCTTCCCAGACGTAATAGCTTAATTGTGAGTGCAATTTCATGCAAGGGCGTGCGGAGAATTTCAGCAGTGCGATGTTCCTCCAACCTGCAACAGTAAGACTTGGAACAAAGAAGGTACCCATAGTGTGTCCCTATGATGTAGAGGAGATAAAATAATATTTCTAATTAAACTTACGCGTTGAATCGAGCCGTGCTACACAAATGGAAAGCAAAGCCGGGACGCACACGTCCTGCACGACCACGCCGTTGAGCCAAGTTGGTTCGCGACGCCCATACTGTGGCAAAATGGACCATATTATTGTTCGACGTGTACATTCGCTCTTTGGCCCTGAAGCATTGTTATGATCGGAGTACCCTCTTTACATTTCCTCGTGTCTGACAATTAAAACAAAAACATAAATCTCAAAGCTCTAGGAAACTCTCGTAAGAATATGGGGAATGGAAAATTTCAAAGTCTGTGTGTACCGCGGTATTCCATTCACGGTGTTCTTATTGTTAAACCAGCAGACTGCTACTATTGCCAATTCTATTAGGCAGCGTTCAGAGTTCGCGATGACGCGCTAGAATTAACAACAGTGCTCCAGCGCTATAGTCGCAGAAAACCGCAACGGCAGACGGGAAGGCGGATCGAAGGGAGCCGCTTGTGTTTCGAGAAAATATGGGAATATGGAGGGCATGGGTTTCTTAATCACGCGGTTTGCATCGATCTCATACTTTCTCAGGACGCAAGCGGCCAGGGACAATCGGTTCACTTCTGCAGCTGCTTTCGCGTCTATTGCATTGGGCGCCCTTGAAGGTAGAGCGTCGACGCGCGTCATCGCGAGCCCTGAGCGCTGCCTCGCTTTCTCTTTTTTTCACTTGTTGGAAAAAGACTAGATTCGAAGGTAATTTACACTGAAGTCAACATACTTGCATGAGTCGATGACGAAGACAACATCATCTATGGTTATGCTTGTTTCAGCGATGTTGGTTGCCAATATGATCTGAAACAAACAGTGTTGAATCCATGAAGCTACCTATTCCTAGGCATAGCACAAGTTCCCCATTTTCCAAGTTCGGCGAGCATATACGCGTTTACCTACCCATACCAATCAATAGTCGTTAACAGGAAACCTGCAAGTAGAAGATTCTGGACGCACATCTAGCACTCAATCCAGAAAATACCACCTTTCTTGTCATC